GCAGATTGTTAATAGATCTTCCACCAATCCTGACGCCACACTTCTCCACATAGAGCCCAGCCTCTCGGATATTCTGTTCTGCATACAGGTTGAAAAGGTATGGAGATAGGACACATCCCTGGTGTACACCTTTCCCAATTTTGAACCATGCAGTGTTTCCTTCTCTCTTCTGATGACTGCCTCTTGGTCCAAGTATAGGTTTCACATTAGCACGATTAAATGTTCTGGGATATCCATTCTTCTCAGAGTCAGCCACAGTTTGTTATGATCCACACAGTCAAACGTCTTTGCATAATCAATGAAACACAGATAGCAACACCCATGTTACCACTGCATTATTCACAACAGTGAAGAGAAGAAAATAAATCAAGTGTTCATCAACAAACAAATGGATAGAAAAACTGCTATATTCACACACTGGAAAATTATGCAATACTTAAAAACAATGAATTGATAAAACAAATTTGTGAACCAGGAAGACATTATTCTGAGTTAAACATTTCAGTCATAAAAGGATAAATACTGCATAATACTGCTGTTATAAAATAGGACTGTGATGGGGGACTGAGGAGAGACTAGGGAAAGAGTGGATAGAAAATGAGCATTGGAACAGATGAGGGTAAGAAATGTCTGAAAGGAATATATGTATATTGTATGCATGACAACCATCTGTAACAAGAGGAGCATTGCAAAATGGCCTGAGAGGGGGGAGGGAGGAAAAATGTGTGATAATTAATAAACAAAATAAGACAGGGTGGTAATAGGCATGAAACAAATAATCATTTTGAAGTCTAACATTTACTAACTTTTTGTTTGCTTCTGATTTTTTGTGTTCTCTTGGATAATGGGATCAAGTTCATTTGCATGGACCTGCAGACACAATTAAAGCTGATGGAGTTTATATGTTCTTAGCAACAACTGGGATAATTGCTTTAGTGACCCAGTGGTAGAGAGGATATAACATAATAGACAAAATACCCCTCTAACACTGAGATTCCAGACTTCTTGGGAATCTTATTGTTGCCATGAGTGAAGATCATGACCTACCTGGTGCAAATGGCCCACGCACTCTGCTGCCAAGCGACAATCCCATAGCCACAGGTTGAGCTGGTATATATGAAGAAATAAGACAACAATGAAGAGAAATGAGAAAAGATCCTTTCCTGGCCCCATGTCTTCATTTTCATAGACTTCATTTCTCTTTTGTGAAACCAGGAGTTTTGCTTCTTTGTTTATGCTTTTGTGAGAATTTCTGAGAAAGCCAGATGCTTTGGAAACATTTTCATGTTCAAAAGATGCCTATTGCTAACTATATCCAATATCATCAATCCTAAGAGGGTATGCCCTAAATTTATCTCAGTATATTTTACTTAGTTCTGTTTGTCCCCAAACCCACAAGAACCTGTTGAATGAAAACACACATTTTTTTAAACTATCAAAGATTTTTGGGAAAGTGTTCCTGGAACTAAGACTCCAGGACCCAGCCCTGATTCTCTAAGTATTTCCTGGCTAGGATTTGCAAACTTTTGGTACTGTTTATTCAAAATGTTAATAATTTCAGAAGTTGCTGAAATGGAACTAGAATGCTTTCCTTTTAAGAGTCTTTTTGAAACCACAAATCATTCAACAAACATAATAAGCTGTTCAGTGAGCCCAATATTTGATGTTTGCCCAAGTCTGGCAGAAATGTGGCCATTTTTATATGATATTTTATGTGTGGAATTGGGGAGATATGGGAAGAGCCTTTTGAAAATATGACCTTAAAATTTCAGTCGTTACGGTTTACAATATAAGAAATTCTTCCCACTATGTCTACTCTCAAATTTTTATTTCCCTTGCCCAGTATCATTCAGATTTACCCAATGCTTGCCCTTTTGCAGAGTCTCTAAGTGATGCTTCTTCTGACTGAAGGGTTGAAGGTTTGAGCCCATACAGAATTACTTCAAATGAATGACGTTCTGGCAGAAAACCAGTCACTGAGAACTCTATAAGCTGGCTTCAGTTTGTGGTTTTTGGGTTGTTTTTTTTTGTTGTTGTTGTTGTTTTTGTATGTTTGTTGCACTTGTCATCCTTTCCCTATTTTTGTTACTTCTTCTATAAATTTCCTTGAGTTCCTCCTATTGTTGTTGTTGTTGTCATCATCGTTCTTGGGCACCATCAAGCCAAGTCCGAATCATGCAATGATCAACAGATCAAACCCTTCCCCATCCTGCATCATGCCCACAAGTACAGCTTTACTCAAGCCCATTGCTGCAGTCACTGTGTCAACCCATCTCTTTGAGGGGCTTCCTCTCCTTCGCTGACCTTTCCAAGCTAGTGATCATTCTTGATAAGTCCTTGGTTTTTTCGTTCTTCTGTAGTTGTTATAACATGTGCATTCTCTTAACTGTATTATAAAATACTCACTGTTCATTTTGTCCACCTCCTTGCCTGCTAGGCAGTGATCAGGCTGCTGTCATAGCGTCCTAACCAACCCAATCCAACCTGTAGCCATGAGTCAGTTCTGACTCCTGGTGGCCACGTGTGTTACAGAGTAGAACTGAACTTCAGATGGTTTTCCTTGGCTTTAATCTTCACAGAGACAGATAGCTAAGGTTGTTTCTCCGTGCACCACCGAGTAGGTTTGAACAGCTAAACTTTGGGTTGAGAGTGAAGGGTAAACCAATTGCACTACCCAAGGGCCTCATGGTTTCCTGTAAAAGTTGTTATGTACCACGGAGTTGAAACAGACCCATAGTTGACTGTCCAAAGAGTTTTCAGAGGCAGTAAATCACATGGGAAGAGAGCACCCACCTTTCTCCCAGACTAGCTGGTGGATTTGAACCATGTACCTTTTAGGTTGGTAGCACAAGTCCTTAGCACTAAGTGATCAGATCTTATGAGAGCAATGTGAATGTTATTGTTGTTTGGTCGAGTAATGAATCAGTTTTAAGTGCCATGAGGTCAAGTACTGAGTCTGGAAATTAAAAGCTTGCCTTGAACCACACTCTTTTTTACTGCTCCTGTGAATATAAGGCCTCACTCAATCTCTTGCCCCACCAACACCTCCACCATTTATTCTCGTTGCAGGATGTTGCAGAAACTTTCCTTGTCCTTGCTGCTGGTGGCTGTGTTGATGACAGCCTCAGAAGCCCGGAAGGACCGGCCTGCAGGAGCCATCCCGTCGCCCTACAAGGAAGGTAGTAGTGATCCCTCAGAGCGCTGGCAGCTGCGGGTAAAGGAGGTGCTGGCCTCCAGCCAGGAGGCTCTGGTGGTCACTGAGCGCAAGTACCTCCGGAGCGACTGGTGCAAGACACAGCCACTGCGACAGACGGTGAGAGAGCAGGGCTGCCGCAGCCGCACGCTGCTTAATCGCTTCTGCTATGGCCAATGCAACTCGTTCTACATCCCGCGTCAGGTGCGCGCGCGGGAGGCCACCTTCCAGTCCTGTGCCTTCTGCAGGCCACAGCGCTCCACGTCGGTGCTCGTGGAGCTCCAGTGCCCTGGCCTAGACCCGCCCTTTCGGCTCAAGAAGGTGCAGAAGGTGAAGCAGTGTCGCTGCATGTCCGTCAGCCTGGGCGCATCCAACAAGCACTGAGTGCACGGCCAGACGCAGTGCCACTGCCCTGCCCTGTCCCTGCCTCCAAGTGCAAAGAGGCCAAGCTTCTCCATCAAGTACTGAGCACGCAGGTGCCATCCCCTGTCCACACCTCCAAGGAGCACTGAACGCGCTGCGCAGGGGCCACCATCCTGTCCCCACCTCCAAGCGCGCAGGGGCCCAGAGACTCTTTGTACTGAGTGTACAGCCAGGCGCAGTTACCACTGCCCGTCCCCAGCGGCAGAACACACACAAAGGGCCTGCTGAACGCACAGCTCACGTGCCGCCGCCCTGTCCCCACCTCCTCAGGGGCCTGGCACCTGGACAGTTAGCATGGCCTTGGGGCTCCAGGGCCTTTGTCACAAAAGTGCATTTCAAGTGTAGCTCTGCTCCTCTGGGCCTAACTGACCAGACTTGACCACATCTGGCCAGGTTTTACCTGAGCCATGGAGGGAGCTGAAAACCCCACCCACCTATCAGGGTGGTCGTTTCAAATGATGCGCTCTCACCCTGACATTGATGTTTTCCACTATGTGTGTGTTGGGGCAGGGGAGATAGAGGGACAATTCTTGGGCCTTATTCTACACTTTGGCTCACCCCCTTCCCCATGAAGGGAAAGACACTCTCTCTTCTAACCAGCCCGCCATCTCTTCTGTTGCCCTTGGACCGTGGCTCAGAGAGTCTGTTATGATTTGAGGGCTGCCACCTTCCCCTGCCGTGATGTGGACTTGGACAACTTAAGAAAACGGTGCACACCGGCATTCTCTTAACAAACCCATCCCAAGAAGACAAATCATTGGAATGTGGAAGTGTACTTCCCTGTGGACTTTGTGCATAGTAGAAACCACCTTTGCCTACCCCCTATGTGCATTAAAGAACTCTAGTGTGCATGCTAATTTTTATCAAGATTAGAATCTTTCTACACACAAGTTTTTTATTAATACTGGTTTTATTTTTTTACCTAGTGTAAAGGGCTGTTGAAAAGCATTATCAAACTGTCCATGTACTCTTTTTTATATTTTGACAACTGGCTTTGCAGTATCTTTCTGAGTAAGGACCAGAGGATGAGGTAATCTGTCCAGAAGGTGTTTTACTCAGTAATGTGCCTAGTAATTCACCTGTTCTTAGATTCAAGCGAGTAGACTGGAGGACTGGCAGTTGTCTTGAAAACTATTTCCCTGAAAGTTCTCACTCATTGCTGAACAGTATGGGGTTGCTTTGAGGCAGAAGGAGTGTAGGGATGAAGGATTTATTGGGAAGTTAATAAACATTTAAAAGGATGTAAAATGTAAAGTGAGAAGTTAAAATTTCTGTTAAAAATTAAAATTTTTCAAATGTAGAGAGTTGGGTCATTCTGTAGCACAGATTACATGCTGTCAAGTTGGAACCAACTCATAATTAGTCCTGCAGTGGGCTGTAAATCCACGCAAAGAGATTGTCCATCTTTATCATGCAGAACAGCTGAGGACTTGAACCCCATGCCTTTGGATTGCCAGCACAGCTGCTTTCTACTAAGCCACCAGAGTGTCCTCTATCACAGGAGGAAGGGATAAAACACAGATTAGGAATCTAGTTGCACTTTAATTCAGAAAACATTTGTTATTTGGGGGCTTTTTACAATAAGATTGGACTTGAAAAGGTTAAGTAAACAGTAGGTCCCTTTTCCTATTTATAGTGAATTATCCAAGTGCTATGATCATTCAATACAAAGACAATTATATCAATTTTTCCTGAAAAAAAAATATATCCTTCCTTTATACTGCTTGGGGACATTGCCTCATCAGGGCTTCCCTGGGAGGAAAGTCTGTGGAATCTCTTAAAGGTGTATAAAGTGCCTTTTGATGGAAATCACTATGCTCTGAGCAACGTTTACTGGTAATTTGCAACTATACTTGGGAATCCAAGGGATCCAGGAAAGGTCTACTAAACTCAGGCTTGAGTTTCCTGATAAGCAAGAAATGCCCTCTGAGAGGCAAACTCGGGCCTTCAGACATTAGATAAGGGTAGTAAAGCTTTGAAACATTGACATGGAGAGTCAAGATTAGGTAGGTAGGGGCAATGGGTGAATCTATTTTCTATTCCTGTTGTACCTGGTTTGACAATAACATTTATGTGACATCTAGCTTAAGAAATGGGAATACACAGCCCTAATCAATAAAAGTCCTTGAAGACTTTGACCCAGGGATGAGATGAGGTAGGTAGAGAGTGTTCAAAGAAATAACTGTCTTCATTTAATGGAACAGTTCCAGGTAGCCTCCATGGCAGTCTATGCAGCAGAAGTGCTGTGAAAGAAGGCATTAAACACAATAGTAATGAAGTGGGAACGAACCCTGAAGATAGAGGAAAGATTAAGCTATGAACTCACAGAATGCCATCCTGAGCACGTCCTTTTATAACCCAGTTGTCAGTGTAGCAAGAAAAGCAATAAATGCTTCAGTATGATGCTCCTTCTGGGAGCTATTGTATGTACAAAATTCACCTTATAATGGCCTCAATTCTATTTAATTGTGTGTTAATTTATTTATAAAAGAAAAGCTATACATGTCATGTAAATATTTCATGGGGGTAAATTAAAGAATAAAGATACTCTAGGATTATATGTGATCTGGGTGTGATTGTGCCATAAAAGTTAATTCTGAACTTGTTTTAATGGGTGCAAAGGAAGCATTCGGGGTGCTTTTGTATAGCCCCAGGGATCCTACCTCTAGCCAACCTCTCAGAGCCCTGGAATCCTCAGAGAATCTGCAGTAAATATCCATGGTTAGAAGTGGGAGAATGGTTCTCAATCCTAAGGGAGCTCAAGCTAATCTCTCTGGAAACCTCCAAGCATACTGTAGATACTTTGGCAGCTTTGATTGCCTAGTGGTAAGAAGCCATGTTGCAATCCCAAAGACACATAGTTCAAATCCACCAGCTGCTCCATGGGAGAAGGATTGGCAATCTCCTATCCTTACATAAGTGTGACTTACTGCCTCTGAAAACCAGCTGGAGGGGCAGCTATGAGTTGGTTATGACTTGATGGCACACACCACCACCAACAATAACTGGCAGCTAAAGAGAGAATTCTTTTTTTTTGTATGCACATACATGTTTATTGCTCCATTAGTCACAATAGCAAAGAGATGGAAGCAACCCAAGTGCCCATCAACAAACAAATGGATAGAAAAACTATGCTATATGTACACAATGGACCATTACACAGCATTGAAAAAACAATGAACTCATAAAACGTTGCACAACATGGAGGAGCCAGGAGGCTACTATGCTGAGTGAAATATCTCATTCACAAAGGACAAGTACTTCACAAAAACACTGTCATAAAATAGGACCTACAATGGGGGCTGAGTGAAGAATAGGAAGAGTAGACGGATAAGGAATACAGCATTGGAACAGATGAGGGGGGAAAATGGTCCAAAAGGAATATATATGTATGACAACAATCTGGAACAAGAGGTGCATTGCAGAGTGGACTACGGGAGGGTGTAGGGAAGGAGAGGAAAGAAAATGTGCAACAGTGAATGAATACTTTTTAAAAAAATAGATAAAATATAAAGAGCCTAAATTGAAAATGTGAGTAATTTATATGTAGATACCCATAGAAATTCCTGAAATGCTATATAAAAATTTAATAAACTCAAAAGTATAACATACCTACTTGTACAAAAGGATTCAAGACCTCAAAACATCAAATTTTTCTAAATTTATTCACAAATTTGATGCTGTCTCAATAAGTACTCCAAGAGGATAACCCCGTCCCAGGAACTAAACAATTTTCCTTTAATCACAACAAGATAAAGGCAAATAACCCAATTGAAAAATGGTCACAGGACACGAACATACACTTGAACAAAGAAGACATTCAGATGGCAAACAAACACATGAAGAAATGCTCAAAACCCCTCACTCAAAGAGAGATGCGATTGTTACAACAATATGTCCAGAGCTTAAATAGTAAGCTTATGCCACATTTCTATTTTTGGTTGATGATTCATAAAAGCGAAAGTTAGTAGTCAGTGAATAAAATATTATTAGGTATAAAGTGAACCTCTATTGGTTTCTTAGAACAAATGTCATAATAGTGCTTAATATTCACCATTGTCTGAAAAAAGAATATAGTTTCAGTTTTGAGTTATAGCAACAGCAAATATAACAGAATAAAACATTAACCAATCTAAAAAAAAAAAAGAGAGAGATGCGAATCAAAACAACCATGAGACACCACTTCACCCCAGTAAGAACAGTAAAACAGAACAGCAAACATCAAATGCTGGAGAAGCCGCGGAGAAACCGGAACCCCTATTCAGTGTTGGTAGGAGTGCAAAATGGCGCAATAACTATGGAAAGCTGCATGGCGCCCTCCCAAAAAGCTGCAAACAGAAACACCACTCGACCAGCAATTTCACCTCTGGGAATCCACCCTAAAAAAAAAGCATAACCACCACCCAAGCAGATATATTTATTTTTATGTATATATTTATATTATGTGTATATTTATTGTGGCCTTGCTCACAACAGCAAAGAGCCGGAAACAACCCAAGCGCCCATCAACAAACAAATGAATAGAGAAGCCCTGGTACACTCACACAATGAAACACCATGCAGCATTGAAAAACAAGAAAGACGCGAAATACCATGCAAAATGGATGATTCTGGAGGACACCACGCCGAGGGAAACATCCCAGTCACAAAAGGACAAACACCACACAGGGCAACTGCTGCAAAACAGGACCGACATCGGGGAAGAGGGAAGACAGAGAAGGAGGGGAGGAACGATGTATACTGCACTGAAACAAATGAGAGAAAGAGAAATATCCAAAAGGGATATATGACTGGGCACCACCGCCATGGCAGGAGTCCAGAACGAAGGCCGCACAGTAGTGTGAACTTACGGGGTGGGGGGTTGGGGGGAATTGCATAACAAAGAAAGAATTTTTTAAAGAGGGAATTCTTGACCCATTCTTTTCTGCAGAAGAATTAGTGAATGAGAATGCTTTGGAAAA